GTCCCAGACATGGAGCCGAATTGATAAGTCCTTCCGAGGACTTGGATACATCCTTGTTTCTTGTTCGTCCTAGTTAGACACTTTTGTGTGTGTGCAGGACTCCCCGCTCAACCTTGCAAAGACCTAATCAAACTGGGTTGGTGGAAAGACCTTTGGCCTTTGGCCTTTTAAGCGCTGTCAGGTGGGTAAAAGGAGGGTGGACTTCCTTGGCCGCGTTTTTGGATGCTTCGGGGCGGGGCCAGGATTATGGCTTTGGAAAACCAGCTTGCACCCTTTCCAATGACTTTTGGTTCCTTCGGCAGAACCCTTTTGTCTAATCCCTGAAAGGATTTCAACCCAGAGCCTGACGAGAACATGAACCAGCACCCTGCGTATGAAGGCCAACTGTGGAGATTCCAAGAGAATGGCGACATTTGCAATTTAGTTGACGGGAACATTGTAGGTCATTTGTGGGCATCCGCCCCCCGTTTGGCAGGCCGTTTTCGTATCCTTGGCAAAGGAAGGCGGCAAGACTTGGTCTCACGCACGAGGATGGAAATTGCTCATTGTTTGACTACTGTCAATCAGCTTGGAACTGAGGTCTTGCCGACGTCTTCAAAGTCGTCAGCACTGCTTACCCAGAAACGATGACGAAGATGATCATCGTGAATCCTCCTGCGGGCCGCTTGACGTGAGAAAGGTATTGGGGGAGCAATGGCAACGAAGCTGAAATATGTGAAGGTCAACGGGAACAACTGCGTTTATGCGAAACCAGAAGATCATGACTTCAGATTACAGGCGTGCTCTAGCAGACGTTTCAGGCATTGTTAGATTGAAGCATCCAAAAAGAGCGGAGGATCCATGAAAGACAAGCCTCTCTGTGAGGAAATGCGCGGGGGAGACTCTGAGAGAGAGGAGAGAGGGAGAGAGCGAGAGAGCCGCGCACAACACCAGATTGAAAGGTCCCATGGAACAGCAGCGGCCGCTCTTGTGGGCACCTTTGTTTGTTGTTCCCATCCCCTTCTTTACCAAGTGTACAGAAGGGGCTGGGCCTAGGCAATTGTACAAGGATTGGGCTGCAGTGAGGTGTCGCTTTGACTCCCCAAGATATGTTTGTACATGATGTGGGCAGTACATTAAGCAATCTCGTTGAGTGCACCGGCTCCAGAACAGCGGGGGGCTGTTGATCCCACCGGGTTTTGCTAAGGACTCGTTTGGCAGGTTTTGTTTCAGCCCTGCATCCGAGCTTTGTTGCAGCCTGGTGGAAAGCACTGTGGTCCTCCAGCATGCGTCCAAAATGAAACGCACGCACCTGGCCTGTCCTCCTTTCCTGTTGAGCTCTGTTGGTAGTTGTTTGTAGATCATTTTAGTCGAGGCCAAACCTGTCGTCAACGCAGCTGGTGTTCCGAGGTTTCAACATGCTGTGGATGGCCGTGCAGCCAATGCTCAACAATCGGATCAAGCAGCCGCGTGGCCAAAATACGAGTAGACCGGTCGTGGATAGTGGCTTCGGAACGCTGTCCCAAGAAAACCGTTCCTAGAGGTTAGTGGTTCTTGAAACAGGGGCCCACCGGACCGCACTTTTGGATGCTTTCGAAAGGGATATGTAGCCAAAGCGTGGATGTTGGAGCTTGGGAAGCAGTCATATGATGGGCATCCTGGACTGGTGTTCAAAAAATACACCTCAACTTCTACCGAGCTCAGCTGGCACAAGACCGGGGGCCATGGAGGTTGTGGCGCCCAGGCGACCTCATCCTGCGAAACAGTGCTGGTTGGACTTGCAGCCCTAGTCGACAAACATGGGGCTGGTGAAATCTGGTGAAACCTGGATGGTTTTGAGGAGGCAGATCATGTCAAGCTAGTAACTGAGTATTGTCGGCATTCGTTCGGCCTTGTTGCGGGGAGCCGTTGTGTGCCAGAGGACGCGGGCTTATAGGGGCTTGTTGCGCGCACCAGTCTATGTTTGTGGGAATGGGTTGCCCTGCGGATCACCGCGTTCCTGTTGCACTCGCATGTTTTTTGACTGCTACGCGCACGATGGTGCTCCATGGGACGAAACGAAAGGCGTTTCGATCTGTGATTCGGTCCATCCTCCTTCTTTTGGAGTTGCCCTCAATAGGCTTCTCGGATACTGCGGAGAGTCGGAGCGCACCCGCCTCTACCCGGAGCAGAGTTGCACCGAGAGAGGAAGCGAGTTGGTGAACAGGCCTCGGGTCCCCTCAAGACGGCCAAGTTTCCAAGTCCACGCGCAGCCGTTGCTGGTCGCGGGTCGGAGCACACCGACCATCCCGTCCGCATACCTTCTGAAGTTTAGTGCCAAACTGCAGTGACCCGAACGTCGAATGATACCTCTAAACTGGGGTGAAGTTTCCAGGGCGCACGAGGTTTTCGCGCATCCAGCGGTTGGCCGCCGGCCCGAGGGCGTAAAGAGGGATGTACGCAAGCTGTTTGAGAGACGAGCCAAGTCCGCAGGGTTCGAACCAAATAGAAAAGCACAAAACAACAACGCGACAAACACACCCAAAAGACAAACACCCGCGCACAAGTGAACAACCAGGCGCAGAACCTTTTTCCAGGGTCCACAGCATGTCTGAAGTTCGGGGCAGGTGCAACAGGCACCAAGCAAGAGCTGCTTTCTGTTTAGATACTGTAGTTGGACCACTGCGAGTGTTTGACCATTTCTGCTGACATCCCATTTGCGTGCGTACTCACTCGCGCACTTTGGCACAAGTGTGAACGTTCACATGCGTCCTGTTTGCGTGCATGCTCACTGACTGCGTGCACAGCAATGCAAGTCTTGCATGCTTGGTCCATGGGTGTTTGTTGCTGTTGGCTAAAGCAAACTGCACTTATCAAAGGTATCTGTTTTGGCGTAAAGTGACGGCGAAACTTGGGGTTGCACAGGAAGTTCGTGTTCATCCCGGACGGTCCCTTCGAGTTCCCCCAGCAGTTGGCCCAGATCGGCGGCCTTGGGGCCCTGCACGCGCTGGCGGATCTTAGCCGGCGCATCTCGGACCCGAAATCGCGTTTCGGCTGGGGGGATGATAGAAGTCTTGGGCCGCTGTTTTGGTCAACCAATATGAACGTCCCTGGTTTAAGACGCGGACATTCCCCAAGAGGAAGCTTCACCGGATTTACAGGGTGAAAGTAATTACCCCTTGTTGACACAAAGTCATCTACTTTGACCCTGCGGTGGCAAGGGCACATATCCAATTTTCACACTCGGTTGGTCCCTCCTAGAAGCAGACCCTTCTGGATTATTAAGTGAATGAGTCCCCTCATAGATGGTGGATTCCACCATTTAGGCAGCCATCCTGGGTTCAGATTATCCGGTTGCATCTTCGAGCCGTATCCGTGGGTTGATGATACTCTACGTTTGATTGATTGATTGATTGATTGATTGATTGATTGATTGATTGATTGATTGATTGATTGATTGGTTGATTGATTGATTGATTGGTTGGTTGGTTGGTTGGTTGGTTGGTTGGTTGGTTGATTGATTGGTTGGTTGGTTGGTTGGTTGGTTGGTTGATTTGATTGATTTATTGATGGATTGGATTGGATTGGATTGGATTGGATTGGATTGGATTGGATTGGATTGGATTGCATTGCATTGGATTGGATTGGATTGGATTGGATTGGATTGGATTGGATTGATTGTTTTGATTTGATTTGATTTGATTTGATTTGATTTGATTTGATTTATTTATTGATTTGATTAATTGATTGATTGATTAATTAATTAATTAATTAATTAATTAATTAATTAATTAATTAATTAATTGATTGATTAATTAATTAATTAATTTAATTAATTAATTAATTAATTAATTAATTAATTAATTAATTAATTAATTAATTAATTAATTAATTAATTAATTTAATTAATTAATTAATTAATTAATTAATTAATTAATTAATTAATTAATTAATTAATTAATTAATTAATTAATTAATTAATTAATTAATTTAATTAATTAATTAATTAATTTAATTAATTAATTAATTAATTAATTAATTAATTAATTAATTAATTAATTAATTAATTAATTAATTAATTAATTAATTAATTAATTAATTAATTAATTAATTAATTAATTAATTAATTAATTAATTTAATTAATTAAATTAATTATTTAATTATTTAATTAATTAATTTAATTAATTAATTAATTAATTAATTAATTAATTAATTATTACTTACTTAATTTGTTGAATTAATTTAATTAGATTTAAGATTGAATTAATTAATTGATTTAGATTATGATTTAATTTAATTAATTAATTAATTAATTAATTAATTAATTAATTAATTAATTAATTAATTAATTAATTATTTAATTAATTAATTAATTAATTAATTAATTAATTAATTAATTAATTAATTAATTAATTAATCAAAGCTGACTTTATGGGGGATGGGGCGGCATCACGTAAGTCAAAGCGACCCCTCATGTTTGAAGAATCGCACACCAGAGCCTACGAATCTGTGATTTCATGCCCGCTGACACTTCCCCAACTCGTCACAGGTAGTCCATTGTTAGTTTGCTGGGAGGACATGGGGGCGAGACCCGTGTTGTCCGCTGATTTTCGCTTTCCCCTTTGTAAAGTCGTCCCAAGCCCCCTTTCCCTGGGATCGTGCAAGGCCCAGGCGAGGTGGAGCTGGTGCCAGGGCGCTCACACTTCCACTACCAGGAGCTTTCTGGGGGGCTGGGTTTCGGGTCCTTTTGGAGGAAAAGGGGGCGCGCTTTTTTTGGTTGTTGTTGGGGGGGCTCCATATTGGCAAACAAGGCGTTTGTGGGTGGGTTTCTTTTTTTCAGAAAAGGTCGGACAAACCTCATACTGGCTGGACAAAAAGCAAAAACAAATCAATCCAGCCAGACTTTGATGTATTGAACCTCATAGCCATGTCCTCAAATCATCTGAGGCTCGGCCGGCTTCTCTTTTCCTCCGCTTTCCGCTGAGGAGCTCTCAAAGGGCACCTGCGCACGCTGGGCCTTCCAGGCACCGGCGGTAGCGGACATATGTATATATATATATATACACAGTACACATATACATAAATATATCACATATGTACATGTACGTAAACAACCATGTCAATGTTCGTATACCTATGAGTGTGAATTACACATATATATATATATATATATATATACACATACACGTTATACTGCATATATGTTTGTGCATTCTGCATGCATAGAATTATATATCAGTGCATTCTGCATGCATATATGCTTTTAGAGCTGCTCGCGGCAGCAAAGTCTAGGGAGCAGGCAACCCCAGCGGTGGTAGATTGTTCTTTTTGTTGTACGGTTTTGCTTCAATGCATGAATCCATGCTGCAATTCATGCTAGGACTCCGACTGGACTTATATGCTTAAGTTGTGACTCGGGTGAAACAGTGGTGGAACATCTCATGTCCATTTTCCTGCGTGCGATGGACCCAGGCGCCCGGGAGTCTCCAGTTTGCGGCGCCTTGGAGCGGGGAGTAGACCAGGGGCGTGGGGATGCGCCATGCCAGCCAGGGAGGGATGGCATTCTTCCCCTTTTGGGTTTCAGCATCCCCTTTACTGACAGAAAAGGAAGCCATTGGTGTTTTTCCCCAGTGCAGCTGGGCCCATTCGAATGCAAGGCTGGCGACCTGGCTCCTCCTGCCAGTGGTTTCAATAAGAGTCCGCACAGTACAGCCAAACTGCCAGGTTTTTTCTTTGAGTTGTTGGCAGGCTTTTCTCACTGTTGTTTGATGGAGCTTCGTGCAAATCCTGTGACCACGCAGAAGGGACCCCCTGACATGTGTAAAGGTCATGTGGAAAGAGAGGCCTAAAAGGACTTACTCAGAATGCAGGAAGGGTGCATGAAGAGTACGAAGCATTGGAGCGTAGCTGGGCCCGTTGTTTGGCTGGCGGGCCAAGGGTTGTTAAACTGCTTCATGAGAACAAGCTCGCAACATGCCAGCGCACCCCTTGTCCAAGTGTGCTCTTTGTGGCAATCATGTAAGGTCTTTGGGGATGCTGTGGGAAGAGAATCGAGAGCCATCATGTGCCATGTGTCTCTTTGGCTGGAACAAAGGTGATCTTCTTTGAGTGCGCTGAGAGGGGCGACTTGGATGGAGTTGGACGGGCTGGAAGCCATCAACTGAACGCTGAATGTTTTTTTTGTTTGCAACCGTCAGGATCTGACAAATATGGTGTGCTACTCCTGGATTTCCTTTTGAGCATGTTCCTTTTTCCGCAATGAGCGCACCTCGGAGCTTTCAGACACCCCAAAGGGATGAGATGTGGGCAAGTGGGAGGGTCAGACAAAATTGTTGGCGAAAAATAAAACAATCGGAATCGAAAGATGAGACCAAACATCTGGAAGTGTCACCAATTTGTTGAGACAAAGCCATTTGGTGGCGACACCCATTTATGGCGACGTATCTGTAAATTATGTGGGCAGAAGATGTTTTCAGCACAGCCCCGCTGCGGCATAGTATGGACCTGAAACCATTTCAAAGCGCCGGATGGAAGCCCGACTGAATCTCTAGGAAAACACATCTGGGCATGAAACCGTTTGGCGTGACCAATTCGGACCTTTGTTTCTCCAGGTAGCGAGCGTTTTGCTACCTGTGAAAAAACCCAGCAAGGTCCACTGTTCAAGAAAGACGAACTTAATGGCCATTCTGGCGGCATTTGCTTCATAAAGCTTAGCCCACATTATTCTGACACGCTTGAGCTCGGTCATCCACCAATACTAGGAGCTCCAAAACAAAACTCACTGGGAAGCTCTAAAGCGCTTCACAAGGGGGATCCTTGTTGGGGGTTCGGCTCTAGTTGTCAGACTTTGCGCCTGTTGTCCGCGCGGGACAAGGGGGTCATGTAGAGAGACCACTGCAGAACCTTTGGGTGTTAGCGGGGCATTCTCCCAACAATGCAAATGCAGTGGTTGTGCATGCGACAGAAGAAACGGTTCTTCTGCAAAGGCTTTGGTGTTTGGGCCCCGTCTGGATTCTTCTGTACAGTTCTGGCTGCCAAACAACCCATTAACTTTGGATTCCCCTGAAGCATGGCACAAAGGAGATAGGCATTGCTCGTGTTTTTCTTTCCGGTTCCTTGAAGTGGCGGCTTCCAACTTTCACCAAGGCCCCAAGGTGCACGAGGTCTTCCCTACCCAGGCCGTGACAGGCGCAATCAAGAGCTCTGAAGGTGGTTGACATTTTTTTGTTAGCGTCTTTTTTGTTTTTCCAAATTATTGTTTGTTCATCTTTTTTGCTTGGTTTGGTTCGGGTCGCGCGTTCTTCTTTTTTTTTTTTTTTTCTTTTTGGCTGTTTGTTGCTTGCGGATTTGGTTCGGATGGGCTTGGTCTCTGCCCAGCTCCAGAGCTCTGGGATTTCAGAGTTCGGGCCGAAGAGTTATGGTGTTTGGTGTTGGACACCACTCGGGCTTGCTGTTTTCCTGTTTTGTTTGCTGGTTTGTTTTGAATTCTTGATCTGGATTGGCTTGCTTTGGTTTGTGTGCTTTGCTTGATTTGGTTGTTTGGTTTGTGTGCGTTGCTTGATCTGGTTCGGTTTGGCTTAGCTTGGCTTGGCTAGTTGCTCGACTTGTGGCTTGTGGCTTGTGCCCTTTCGGCTTGTGGCTCGTTTGTTGGCTTCATTTGGTCTGTGCGCTTTGCTTGAATTGGTTTGGTTTGGTTGGGGTTGTTTTGTTTGTTGGCTTAGCTTGGCTTGGTTGTTTGTTTGTTTGGTTGTGTGTGTGTGCCATACCTTTTGACCAAGGTGTGCTACTGCTCCTTGTGACGTGTGTCGCTACGTTGGCCACCAAGGCATCCGCAAGACCTGCCTACCATCCCACAGACACCGGAGTCTAAGCGTAAGCACGTCTCTGCTGACCCTTTTGAGTTTGTCATCAATTGCAGGGGGCCAAGAGCGGGCACGTGGCTTGGGCCAACGAAGCTCTGCCTGGCGCGCAAGGATATCATCTGGGATGCCCAGTGCATCCTATTCTCCTAAGCGAGAGTTTGGCACAGTGTGTGCACACATCAGCCGTGTGATGAATGCGTCTTCAGCAATCTTGGGCTGCTTGCGTGTTTGAACGCCAAAAGAGATGGCGCAGTTGGTTTCTTCCGCAGTGGGGCCCCGCCAGGTTTTTTTACCGTTCCTAGGCATGTCACAGTCCCAGGACCACGCCCGCCAGATCAAGCGTGCAGCTTGCTTTCCCCTGGCTTGGCTGCAGGACTCGGCCGCCAACGCCGGACTGCACCCCCGCCACCAACAGATGGACAGGAACAACCTGTCTACCAGGTTTGCTGAGCTGGGGCGAATTGGCCCAAGTGATCACCAGAGGCAATTTCTTGTCAGTATGGCAAAGAAATCGCAAACCTGATTTGGAAACGTGAGTGTTTCGCGACCAAGTTGCGCCCTGCTGTCCTATCAAGAGATAAAAACTGAGGACTGCCTGCTAAGCGAAGCAGACAACGCTTCTGGATAGGGCAGAGCTTCACCCCCTCACAAGCACCCCCTCACAAGTTGGCTATCCCATGGATGGGTCAACAGAGGTCCGGATCCAGATTGCGCAAGGAGTAATTCAGTCCAGCGTGGAAAGGAGCGCCGTGTTTCGTACTCCATTGAAGCGACACAGACCGGCCTGGATCATTCCCATGCGTGATTTTCCTGGACTTCGCGCATTTTGTGCCGGTACTCTGAAAGTCGGAAAGATTTTCCAAGCTCGAAAAAGCAGATGAAATGACCAGTTTCCTCATGGCTTTTTTTGCAGAGTCCTGGTCAATATTCTTCTGCGTTCGAAGAGTTTTGCTGGAGTTGTTCACTCCGAGTATGTCAGGTGTCCCCGGGATGGCGAGGAGCAACGATGCTGAAACAGCATGCCGTGGATCGCTCGCAATCTCACGAGAAGCGTAGGTGCATGCGCCGAGGTTTCGCACATATCCAGGCCATTTTCATGCTTAGCGCACGGATCTAGATGAATACTGGGGTCAATGGCGCCAAAGCCTTGACTGTGCAACCCAACCTTCGGATTTCAGCGGCGCGCAGAGCAAGCATTTGCGCCTGGCCGCACCTTGTCACCAAGGTTTGCTACTGTTTTGTGGCATTTGTCGCTGCGTTGGCGGCATCCGCAAGACCGACCCTTTGAGGTTGTCATCAAACGCAGGGAGAGAGCGGCCACGCGCTTAGGCAAAGCGAAGCTCCGCGTGGTGCGCTAGGATATCATTCGGCGCACCTGCGTCCTACTCTCCTAAGCGGGAGCTTAGCGCAGTGTGCGTGTGTGTGTGTGTGTTCTTTTGTTCGCTCGTTTGTTTCGTGCTTAGTTTGATATGGAATGATATGGTTTGGTTTGGCTTGGTGTGGTTTGTTACGGCTTGGCATGGTTGGTTTGGTTGGTTTGGATTGTTGGTTTGGTCTGGTTTGTTGGTTTGCTTTGGTGTGGTTTGGGTTTGGTTGTTTGTTGTGTTTGTTGGTTGTTTTGGTTGGCTGGCTTGCCGGTGTGTTTGTGAGGTCATGTGTCCCAGAGTCTCTGCATTTGTGTGTTTGTGCGTTAACTCAACTCCAGTTCTACTTTGCATCTGATTCTCAGCTCACCCACGCGAGCGCGTGCGTGCGTGCGTGCGTGCGTGCGTGCGTGCGTGGGTGAGTGGGTGGGTGGGTGGGTGTGCGTGCGTGCGTGCGTGCGTGCGTGCGTGTGCGTGTGCGTGTGCGTGTGCGTGTGCGTGTGCGTGTGCGTGTGCGTGTGCGTGTGCGTGTGCGTGTGCGTGTGCGTGTGCGTGTGCGTGTGCGTGTGCGTGTGCGTGTGCGTGTGCGTGTGCGTGTGCGTGTGCGTGTGCGTGTGCGTGTGCGTGTGCGTGTGCGTGTGCGTGTGCGTGTGCGTGTGCGTGTGCGTGTGCGTGTGCGTGTGCGTGTGTGTGTGTGTGTGTGTGTGTGTGTGTGTGTGTGTGTGTGTGTGTGTGTGTGCGTGTGCGCGTGCGTGTGTGTTTGTGTTTGTGTTTGTGTTTGTTTGTTGTGTGTTTTTGTGTTTTTAGCGTTTATGTGTGTAGTGGTCAACGTGGCTGGCCGCCATGCTTCCGGATGGCTGTCCTAGCCACATGGAAGCGCTAATTTGATGGTGTTTTTTCCGGTGTTGCTTCTACAAGTCCCTGCGGCCTTAGTGACGACGTGTTGATGCTGTTTGTAAGTCTTAGCCGCCTCCGGCCTACGAGCCCAAAATAGGTCCAAGGAGACAACTTCTCGATGTCCGCTTGGTGTTCTGCGAGTATGAGGCTGAAGTGCTCTGATTTTGGTTCCCAATGATCCACCATCCCTACCATAGTTTGGAAAGCATGCAGCCGCAACTGATGTGCAAATGACGCGCGCGCACACACACACACATATGTGCACACATTCTGCACTCGTGGCTACCGACAGAGGCTGCCGCTGCACTGCTTTGACTTTCAGGATTCCAGTACCATTCTTGAATATTCAGTGCCACTCCACTCTGAGTCCAACTTGCAAGACCAACAGCTTCTGAATCCCCCTGCGCCTGCAACTTCATAAGTCAGGGCCTCGGGCACTTGTGAAAATCTGGGTGCGCTGGTTTCCTAGGTGTCTAAGGCAAGGGATTGAGATTTGCGAAGCCGGAACCCTGTTTCAGGTTTGAAGCAGACACACCTGCAACAGATCTCATTCTCTTCAGTCAAGACGGTAACAGGTCTATGGTTTTCTCGCTGTTAAGTACCACGGAACCTTTCCTGGGCGAAAACCATCGGTCGGAGAACCCGGGCCAGGTGCGGTGTCGGGGCATTGCGGGCCCTTAGGGCTCGAGGGCATGCTCTGGTTCACCTGGTACAACGACAGCGGCTGTGTCTGAAAGACAGGGCTCTCTTTTCGGGGTCCCTTGAAGGGGAAACCAAAAGGAGCCCCGTTTTGTAGGGATCCATATTTTTTGGTGATTTTTGTAAGTGGTACCCTTCGCAAAAGGTAGGAGGAAAAGGGAACTGAAAGGGAGGGTTGGTTAAGGGTTGGGTAGTTTGGAGGCTTAGACTGGTGCAGACTCGGTTTAAGGTTGGTTAGCCGTGCTTTTGGATGCCCGCTGATGCCGGGGATGTGTGGGGGTGCCGTGGCTGACGGGGCTGGGGTCCGGGATTCCGCAGACAGTCGGGTAAAGACGGAAGCGCCTTGTTTTGAACACGGGAAAGTTAACCAACCCTAAGCCGACCCTAAACCAACCCTAAACCTCGCCTAAATCAGCTTGACACCAACCCTAAACCAACCAACGCTGAACCCAGCCCACACCAACTCAACAATGTGTTCGATGCCACTGGTCGAAATTGATCCCTCAAAGTGGACGGGTTGGGTCTGACTGCGGACCGAGGCTGGGCATCCACGTTGCAGGTGCTGGATCTGAAGGTCTCGCTCCATGAGGAGCCAGACGAGGTGGTGAGGCATCCCTCCTCCTCCTCGGTGCTGCTGAGGCCGGTGAGAAGCTGACCTTTGTCCTTGTCTGAAAGGGAACCAAGGTGCTTTTCTATTTCAAATTTCCTGGACCTGGGTTGTCGGCCTTGAGTTAAAAGGGACCTGGGGAATCCCACCTTTGGAGCCTCCCCAAATCCAGGTCGCGTGGCAAGTCAAGCTACTTCTTCGAAATGTGCGTTGACGGTCAGAATCTAGTTGCAAATCCCATGCATGACATGCGCCCACCGGGTCTTTTAAATTTTAGACCCCCTTTGGTTAGAACCCCATCTGCCATCCGGTTTCACGGGCAGGCCCGTGGGTGAGACTGTCACGTGCTGCAGGAAGCATTCCGCCAGCCTCACGGGCTCCGCCTTCTGCTGCATCCCTTGGCTGGTGGGGGACGTTGACGTTTCGGAGGACGACGAGGTGGTGCGCCACCACCACGCGCGCCTCGCATCGCCTTTCCTTTTTTGTGCCTTTTTTGGCCATCTTTTGGTGGCATGTTGTTCAACTGTGGCTCTCTTCTATTTTTTCACTTTTTGGAAACGGCTTCCTGAAATGGTGGACCGGCTTTTGATTTGGATCTGAATACTCCTCAGTTGTGATGCCTCGGTTTTCTTGATTGGTTCGTTGGTTTGTTCGAGCCGATACTTCGCTTTTGTGGGTCGGTTTAGGCTTGTGTGAACTGGAGCTTGATTTCCTACGCTGCATCGCTTGGATGCATCCGATGGTTCCCGTAGAATTCTGCCACATTTGCAGAACATCAGCTTATGCGGCAAATTTTGCCCGGTCGCAGCTTGCCCGTCCCTGTCTTTTTTCCTTCAGAAGCCTCTGTTGCCAAAAGCTCGAAACACTGAAAGCCGGTAGGGGGCCACTCAGCTGACTCATTGCATGGAGTTTAGAAAAGAATGGGTCATTGCAAGATAATCCACCGTTTCGGACAATGCAAATTTAACGATGTTACCAAATAACAAGGTTGTTATACACCCTAAAAGCAAAGAAGGCTGTTTGAAGAATGGGTGCAGCAACATTTTCTGCTGATCCTGGACTGAGCAATGTTTTCAGCTTGCGCCCATCAAGGGATTTGCCAGCTCTTCAAATGGGGCGGCGAGTCATATCTTGCAATGTTGGTCCTACTTGTTTGGCGTACACAATTAGAATGGGGTGTGGGGTATTATATAAATTCGCATGAAGTCATGTTCGTAATAGCAAGATACAAGCTGGAAGTTCTTACTTAGCCCCTCATTAATGTTTGCCGTGCTTCTGAACCCGACTCTTTTGCCAATTGGCAGTCGACGCTCTCAAGAGTGCGCTTCAACTTCAGTCCGTGAAGTTTGCATTGAGCATGAGTTGAGCAATGGGCACACTGTACATGTTGAAATGTGTTTGTCTTAGAGGGTACCTTTTGGGGGTGGTTTGACCCGGAACCTGCCTTTTTTCTGGGCGGGGGGGAAGAGTTGACCAGTGTGGACTTGTCTCCTTGAGATGGTGGCCACCCCACGACCCAGACAGGGTATACACGCTTGATATCGTGTCTCTGCGGCTGTATATCCCATCCATTTCCTGATGCAGTTTGTTTCTTGCTGAAACACAAACCAAATACAATAGGCTGATAGGGACGTGTAAAAACTCGGACGTTAGGAATCTTGCCTGGTTTTTGACAGCCGAATCTTGCTCGACTCAGCAAGCGATTCCCAATTGGATTGACCACAAGTCTGCAATTTTCACAGAGGCTAAGTGTCACAAAGAACTCTTGCTGCTCCTTCCGCAAGGCAAGTTCTTGAAAAGAAAAGTGGCTCACGAGAGATCCAGAATTGAGGGTAGGGCGTAGATGTCGCATACTCTCATTTCATAGTACCATAAACGGCCGTGTCGTAAAATAGGGTTCCGCTTGAGGTGTTGCCTTTTTTACTAGCCCCGGTTTTGGCCGCATGCATCACCAGCCTCACTCGGATCTAGGGCTGCCTATTGTGGCAGTTGAGAGTTGCTTGGGTTCGGATGAGTTTCAGTTTGTTTGGGTTCATTTAGGCTCGTCAAAGAGAGATCTTTTTGGGTTTGCTTAGAGCTGATTTGTGCTAGGTGTGCAGCTAGTCTACAGCACAGCCCTTTGCTGAGTCAAGAAGAACCCGGCCCTGGGCTACCCGGTTCAACAGTCCGTCGCACGTACGGGAAGTCGCCGGGGGTCCGAGGCGCTCGCCGAGCCCCATCCGCGTCCGGCGACGCAAGGTGGTGGACGATGAGCCCGAGATAGGCTTGGGATCGAATCGGCGGACCACCCCAAAACCCAACAAAGCCCAAAGCCCCAAAACCCTAAAACCAAACCCAAAAAACACCCAAAACCCAACCTCCCCCCCAACATCAAACCCACGACACTGCAACCGGCCCCAAACTGCGAGCGCTGAAGCCCCAAACCTCCAGCCCCCACCATGTGTCGAGATCCCTTCAAAGTGGGTGCCTGTCTGACAGGTAAGGCAGGTAGGTCGAGTGTTGGTCCGAGCTCAAGCCGGGGGTAGTGTTGGTTCAGGGTTGAGGTTCAAAGTTGGCTTGGGTTTGAATGAGTCGGCTTCAGAGTCGGGTGGTTAAGGACCTGCATGTTGATTGATGCAATTTGAAGGGGCGACCCCAAATCATTGACACTCAGGTCATGGCCCATGGCACATGGGATGCTGGAAATGGGTTCCAAAACCGAACGGCCCAGGTGCTTCGGTCGCTGTTTATTTCTTGCCACCAGGCCCCAAGTCCCCAACCCCTCCAAGCCCTCCCCCAAGCCGTATACACTGATCATGCTTCAACTGGAAATGCGGGGATTGACAAAAACCCTTACTTTTTGTGCTGCTTTTTTCAAGGTTCCCAAAATTGAGGTCAGTAACTTGGGTTCTTCTCACACTCCTACCCTCTTTCAGCAAACCCGCTTTTGCCCAGCTCCAGTCTGTCTCCCCTCAAGGCTGCAACAACTGTTTGCTTGTCTGCTTTCGGCGACAGCTCTCTCCCCTCCCCCCACACTGAGAAGCATCCCTGGAGTCGGCAAGTCGACCATGGCATCCAAATCAGCCAATTGGCACGCTTTCAACTTTGTCTTTCAGGTTCTTGTCCCCTGAAGCCTCAAGGCGACAGCGACAGCTGGGAGGGCGGCCTCGGCAGCGACGCCTTCGCCAAGCTCGTGCTGCAGCTGGCTGCACTGGTGCTGTTACTGGCCACAGCCCAGACAGCGCGGAGCTGGGGGGCGGGGGGGAATCCTGGAGGTGGATTGGAGTTCGATTCTGGGGGCAACTCAATGTGATTGGGGTGGCAAAGGCACTCAAAACGGACAGTTAGGGCAACTTTTTTTGGGGGGACTACTTAGTGGTCAGATGTCTTGCACGTGGCTGTGTATCCCAAACAGCGACCCTCCAGATGGTTTGTGTCAAGTGCGCCTTTCTTGAGCAACATGGTTCGATGTCCAGATGGTTTGTTTGTGTAGCGGTTCCCTTTGTCGCATTGCGGGCATGGACAGCGGCCAGGAGCTACCTGGGCCGCGCCGGGCTTTGGCTTTTCGGCTGAGTCTGGGCCCATGTCTTAAAATAGGGGGCCACCAAAATTGGTGGTGCTTCCTGTGGTTTACCATTAAAACCACACAAAAATGGTACCCTCAAAAAATGAAACCCATGTCCGGTTGGCTTTTTACGTTATCCGAGAAAAGGGTCGCAGCGTTTGCCATTTGAACGTCCCGGTGGACGATTTTCCTGCCCCGCTTCGGTCACTACGTGTGCCAAGTGAGTCACTGCACATCGATGGTTGAGCAAGCAGACGTGAGACTGGAATCTAGAAACCCTGGACCTTGCCATTTTGTGTGGTTAATACAAGGAAGTATTTATCAGAACTGCGGCAGGTTAGACAAAGATCACCTGATTTGATATCCCTGACACATGTTTGGGCCAAGGAGATGAGGCAAAGGATGGCAATGATTTCAATCCCCTATTCCCTCTTGGGCGGGTCGCACACGGAGCGACCGGCTCCTGTCTTGCTTGGCCGCAGGGCTAAGCCAGCGCTCAAAGATTCAAGCGGATGGGTTTGTCAGGGGATGGGGAAAAAACCAACACGACTTGCGAAAAGGCAAAGATGCGATTGGGCCTGATTAGGCTTCCGCGTTGTCGCAATAAGTTGTTGGAATCAAGGTGAAACCATTGCAAAGTGTTGCTCTGGATTGTGACAAGTTGTTTCAATATTCTTGCTGGGCTTAGGCTTTCCGTTTCGAGTTGTCACTGTCTTTCGCCATGACGCAAGGGCCTCTGCAATAGATACCTTGAACAGCCTGCAATCGGTTATGTCTTGTTGTTTGATACACCCGGCAGCCCTCGAGCCCGAAGTAGTCTGAGAGCAGCAACAGGCCCGAGACTGTCGAAAGAACGGGCCCATGGCTCTTTGTTTGGCTTTGACAATCGGAGCTTTGTGCGGATGAAGTGGCACATTGTGGGAATCAGCATCCAGCACTCCCTGATGGTCCATCAGCGAACTTTCTCACATTGCAATTGGCTGTTATATTGAGTGAATCAGGACATAACAAGTGTGTTGGCGATGGGCCTACCCACAAGCAAACCTTAGTTGCTTTGCAGTTGGACCTTTGGCATCTGCTTGCAAAACAACGTGCTTTGCCTAAGCAAGAAATGCAGAACTTTATTGTAAACGCTGCGTGATGCCTCGCCCGCCTCGCCCGCCCAACCGAGCAGTCTGGCGGGCTGCAGCGTAAAGGAACTTGAACTCGAGCGGCGGGCTACAAGAAACGTTGACGCCGGGCCTTGGTGGGCCGAGCAGGGAATGCTGAGGGCTAGTGGGGGTGAAGGTCAAGGAGGAAGTCTGGCGGGGTAGCTGGGTCACTGGCTGGTGCGTGAAGGGCTGGGGAATTGAGAGCTGGGGCTCAGCCCAAGCAGCGCTGAGCAGAGTCCCGGCCGTTGAATTGCAGCGCCTTGGCTCAGGCGCGTGAAGTAGGCTGGAGTGCACTGCATTGAGACTGAATGCGGGGCAGGTCGCAGGGGCAGCTGGACATTGGTTTTGAGTCACGCGGAATGGGTGCGGTCGTGGGGGGGAGGGGGGGAAGAACACCGCGAGCGAAATGCAGGGTCACCAATGACCCACTGGATCTTCATGTTGTTGAACGTTGAACCTGGCGGCACTTGGTGGGTCGGACCAGCTTGCGCGTCTGGATGGCAGATGTGGCCCGGGTGAAAGGCGACCACCGGCGCCCTCTTTCGCAACCCCCAACCCAGAAATGATTTCCCTCGCCACGATGGAATAGATGGGATCGCTGAAAAGGGACTCAGCCCTTTGTGTTTGGAGACAAACACGTCCCTTGCCAATATATAGTTCAGCCCGTTCAGATGTTTCGGGCATGCGGCATGCGTCCAGAGGATGTCTCCTTTGCGAAGCAAGAGGAGCGGTTTATGCATGTCTCTCTCTTGGGAGGCCCGCAAGTGCTTCCGAAAGCCGTGGGCTGTAGATATGTTAGGCGTTTGCCCACTGTGGTGCCTTAAAAAGTGTGTGGCGTGCACCTGTTAATGGATTTCGGGCTTGGGATGTTATTCTTGTAGATTCTGAAGTACTTCCCTCCTTTGCTCTGTCGCACGGGCTCACCGCGCTTTCCTTTGTTCTGTCTCCATACGGCCTTCTTTTCCATGGACATCACTGCGTTCCTGGGTGTGGAGACCAAGGTGAGACCAAATTCTTTCTGTACGTCATGCCATGTCATGCCTTTTTTGATGACCAATGCAAAGGTTCATCAGTGTCACCCAGCCTGCAAAGTGAAAACAAACAACTGTATCTGGGGGGTTTGGACTCACCCAATTCCCATGTCATGACTTTTGGGAGGAACACGGATGATGGATTGTCCATCCTACGTGCACCATGACAGCGCAGACTCCTTGAACTCGGACAAAATGGGGAGTTACGCGTCACGCCCGTCTCAATCTTGGTTATTTTCTATCAACACCTGATTTGTGTTTTTGCTCACGATGAGCTGAACAACCACTACATAGCGCTTCGCAAGACCTTCGACCAGGGAAACACCCTATCAGCCTCTCGGGTTTCCTGAGAGCCGTTTGGCTTGACCGAAGGCAGGGCAGTGAGAATCGAAGCATACCATTCGCCAACATTGGAACCGGAAGTTTATCTTTGGGTATGCAACGCCCTGGCAGCACTAGCTGCTTGGCGGATTTTGATTCAGATTCGGAGTCCCAAACCGTGATTCTTTTGGAAGATGTCTTTTCATTCGGAGAATCCCGGTGTTTTGGGGTTGGCCTTAATCCTTTGAGCCTTTGCCAAGGCTTATCTAGGCTGGGCATGCGCTGCCCTGCAGACTCCGACCGACCAGAGCTTCCGCTCAAGCCACAAGTCAGCTCAACTCCGTTTGACCCAAACTTGGCTCCTTTGAAGTGATGTCAAGTTACCCTTTAACTGGTTAAAAGGAAACCCACCTTCAAAAGGATCAGCAACCTTGTGCAACCTCGACTTGGTCACTCCCTCAAAAAGAAGCCCCGCAGAACACAAGTGCTCTCCGAGAAAAGATTGGGGACTCTCACGCTCTTCAGCTTGACTCGGGCATTTATGGGATTCGGACCAAATGGGCATCCACTTTCTGGTTTCTCAAGGGCAAGCAAATTGAAAAGAGTGGTTTTCGCCTCCAACGCACGGGATCGAACCGTTCCAGCAATTCCATTTTCTGGTTCCGAGCCTTAGAACCAAACCTCAAGAATCAAAAAATTGTCAGGTTTTTCTTCAGGAGCCATTTTTCTACTCAAAGGAATTTGAGAGCAACTCTGACTGTGGCTTGGTTCCTTTTGGTTTCCACTCAGGTCCCTTTTGATAGATAGTTAAGCAAGTGAGCAGCTCTGTGGCACTTAAACATCGCCATCCCTGCCTTTTTTTGTGTTTGTGGATGTGGACTTTGCCCCCCCTACCCCAACCCCTCCCCCCAATGCATTCCTCTGACCACGAACAAACTTCGCTGGAGCTGAAACTTCGATGTCCGCCACTCCTGGGGAGCGAGTGGTAGCCGTTGCGCGCCTCGTCATCTTTGCCTGCTGCTACATCGACGCTTGGGCATGAGCATGAACAAGTCCAGCCTCTGGTAATAGCAGGGTTTCTTTTTATACTGTTTGTTGTCGTTATGGACACCCAAAAACACTACTGACGGACAAAGTAGGTGGATTATCTCGCTTAAAGGGTTTCGGGGGAAAACAACAACAACTGGTCCAGGATGCGCGAAGCTGTTTGTTTGCTGGATGCCCGCCTGAATCCTTTCCTTTGCCAATTCGAGTTAAGCGGAAAAAGAAGCCCTGGTTTGTATTTCTTTGAAGCATCAGCGCTTGGAGGGTGACCACATTTGCCCTGAGATTTGCCCAAGCTGGTGCCAAGGGTCAACTCTTCCTAAGAGTCCTGCCCGACAACAAAACACAGCAACGGCAGGGCCGCAAGGTGGTCCATGTAGATGTGAACAATCACGACGCCAAATGGCTATGCAGACCAATTCGTCTCTGGCTTCAAACTTTGAAACGGGATGGTGTGGAATACGAGGCCGGGCCTCAACCAATTTTCTTTGCAAGAGCTGCGTCAAGCGCACTCAAGAAGCCTGTTGTTATTTGGGAGAATGGCATAGTTTCTTCACCATCCTTGAGAGGAGCTTGTTTATCATCCGCTTCAGCGAAGACCGAACAAAATGCATGGACTCACGGATCAACCGGGCCGTGATTCGTGGGATTGCTGTAGGAGGAGAATTTATTTGTGTAGTTATGTGGCTACCTGTCCATCCGTCTATTCATTTATCATTTGAAGGTATATATATATATATGTTTCTAATGTCTGTATTGATTTGTCTATCCATGTTTCTTTCTATCTTATCCGCATTTCCTCTATCTATCTATCTATCCATCTAATCTATCTATCTACCTACCTATCTACCTATTTACCTATCTACCTATCTACCTATCTATCTATCTATCTATCTATCTATCTACCTACCTACCTACCTACCTATCTATCTATCTATCTATCCATCCATCTATCTATCTATCTATCTATCTGTCTGTCTATGTATCTATCTATCTATCTATCTATCTATCTTATCTATCCATCTAATCTATCTATCAATCAACATATCATTCTATCTATCTGTCTGTCTGTCTGTCTGTCTGTCTGTCTGTCTGTCTGTCTAATCTATCTATCTATCTATCTATCTATCTATCTGTCTATCTGTCTAATCTAATCTAATCTAACTATCTATCTATCTATCTATCTTTCTATCTATCTATCTATCTATCTATCTATCTATCTATCTAATCTATCTATCTATCTATCTATCTATCTATCTATCTATCTATTTATCTATCTATCTATCTATCTAATCTAATCTAATTTAATCTAATCTAATCTAATCTAATCTAATCTAATTTAATCTAATCTATCTAATCTATCTAATCTATCTAATCTATCTAATCTATCTAATCTATCTAATCTATCTAATCTATCTAATTTATCTAATCTATCTAATCTATCTAATCTATCTATCTATCTAATCTATCTATCCTATCCTATCCTATCCTATCCTATCCTATCCTATCCTATCCTATCCT